CAAGCTTGTCTCTGCAAACAAGGACCTGCTGTTCCTTGCCCTTACCAACCTATAATAATAGAGATATGAAAAACAGACTTGAGCATAGGTATAAAGTCTTACAGAACAACCATGCAGCGCACCTGAGACAACGGCCCAACTGCTGGAGCCACAGAAAATGCCTTGCGATATATACTCCTGTTGGCAGACTGAGACCAATGCCTAGAACTTGCCACTTCCTAATCCCCATCATTACCCCAGATGGGACGACCCTGCTCCATTGGCTTTTATTGAGTTCTTAGCCCCTTAAGAGGCCTTTCCACAGGCCAAAGCTTGATACACTGCCTCTCCCTCTGCCAGACCATACCAAGGGACTCACCCTTCAAGGGCTGGTAGTCAGTGATGGGTAAGATCCCAAAAGATGGGACAACCTAAAACAGACACAGTCCATAATGCTGGGTGACCCTTGAGGTGGGGACAACACCAGTGGGACAACTCCCACTGGTTGGCATAGAGTTGGCCCAGCCTCCTCTCGAGAGAACTCGCCATCTTGAAGGATGGGGCCCACAATAAGGTATCAATCCCTTGCCTCCCAAGCCATTCTGCCTTGCCTTGATACACAACAGAAAAATCCACCACATACAGCCCCTGGACTGATATCAGTACACTATATGTTCTGAACTGTGCCTCACTCTTAAAAATGAAAAAATAGGAGGGAGATGTTGTGGAAAATCTTGTGACTGATTTTGCCTTCTGCCTTACATACCTATCGTTCTGCAATGCAGTGCTTCCTGTTTCTCATCAGAGAGAAAACTATGTAAGCCACATGGTTTCCGGGAATCCGAAACTTAGAGAAACTGAAACTTATCATGCTAATAGGGCATCTTGACCCCTAGATTGTAATAGGATACTAGTCTGCCATGCTAACAAGGGATCCCGTATACTGTGTTATGATTGGACTATTACCCTTATATAAGCCCGTACTTTCCTGCAATAAAGCAGATCTGTGTCACTGAACCTGGTCTCCTGCATCTGAATGTGGCAACACTGGCACAGACTCCTCACCAGTCCTGGGGTCTGGACCGGATGACTGATCGGAGGAACTAAGAGAACAGGAGAGTGGTCATAGCCAGGGGAGAGCAGCCACAGCTGGTGACCACACCTCATCAGAGAAAAAGTAATAAAAATAAATAGTAAAACTTAATTAGGCAGTTTTAAAGTAAAGACATCAAAAGAAAATGACCAATTTCTTTCTGAACTGGGAGCTGGAAATTTCCTTAGATCTGCCAGTAAACTTATCCCTTAGACTAGAGCTACCAGAACCATCAGAAAAGGACAGTATTTGTGCTGTTTTTATGCAAATCAATCTGACATAGTTTTTAAAAAAAAATGCAAGATAACTACTAGAGAGAATAAAGGCCTAAAAAGAGAAAAATGAGTCTTTCTGGAAAAAATACCTGGAAAACTTCAGTGCCTGGCTCGCCTCACTAAGAAAACCAGTAGTCATGGTTCTATTAGCTTTCCTATTAAAACTTACTAAATTTATCAAAAACCAAATAAAGGCCATCAAACTCCAGGTGATACTCAAAAATACCTTAAAGTTTCTCTTAAATAGTGTAAGGGATTATGTCAATGAAGAGGAGGGGATATTATGGCTAAAAGCTTTTGCAATGTGATGGTGATTAAGAACTTTGGAACCTTGGAGCAGGAAAACTCTGAGTCAAATGATAGGTATGGGGAAGGTGAGTAGGAGTTGCCCCACCCCACCCCTCTCTGTGGTTGCCCAGGATGGAAGTTGCTAGGTACCTTTTGCTTACATTCCTCACATATGAGTATAAAAACCCTCCACAACTTGAACAAGGGGTCTGACTCCTTTTATCTGTGGGCCAGTTCCACTAGCATAAAATTATTAAACTCCCTCTCCTCACCTGATTTCGGCTGTTGGTCTCTGAATTTTCTGTAAGATTCTATAGGCAGCTGCTGAGACCTACAGCTTGCTTGCCCTGGGACTTTTCTTTGAAACTCTAATAAAATTGTCCTTTGAATAAACTCTGACTTTACTTGACTTTCAAATGTTTCCTGCCCTTTAATGATTTACTCTCGGAGAAAACACCTGTTCCTGGCATCCCTAAATGGTATCAATCTGGCTGGGGTGGAGGGGATGAGGGAAAGAAGGAAGGAGGAAGGGAGAGGAGAAAAGAAGGAAGAGAGGGAGGGAGGGAAAGAAAGAGGGAGGGAGGGTGGGAAAGAAAGAGGGAGGGAGAAGAGAGATCCTTAAATGGGATCTTTTTTATTTTTTGGGTCTTTTTGAGACAGGGTCTGCCTGTATCCTCAGCTGGCCTGGAACCCCCTATGTAGACCAGGCTGGCCTTGAACTCACAGAGATTCACCTGCCTCTGTGCCTCCTGAGTGGTGGGATTAAAGGCATGCACCACCACACCCAGCCCAGAAATCTCTTTTTAATAAGATCCAACTCTGCCACCATGCCCAGTCCATGTTTAAGTATCTTATCAGTAGTTATTGTTATAGTCTGATAACTGCCAAGAATTCAGCCATGAGGTAGGAAGGATTTTATTAACAGGTTTTATTAACTGCCGGGCTGTCCCTGCACTCCAGGAGTGAATACAGAGAGCAGCCCCAAAGGGAGTTTGCAAGGACTTTTTATACATACTCAGATATTTCTCAAAAGCGGGAACACAAGGGGCCAATCATTACGGTTCAAACTCAAGCACATATTTGCATAGGTCAGTAAAATTTTTAAATTATTATTGACTCCCCCCAAAGCAAGCAAGTAAGCATGGACAGAAGCAGATAAGGCAGCAGCTTATCTCATCTTGGCCAGACATGTGGCAGTTTCTAAGAATTCCTGGTCCCTATAGGGTGTAGGCAATTTCGGGGAAACTGGAAAATAACTAGGCCAGCTCACGTAGTATGGTAAGATAGATGTCTTTTAGTCCCGGGCCTGCTACAGTTATAGGCTCTCCTGTTACATCTCAAAGGATAGCTAAGAAACTCCTCCTCTTCTTTTTGATAAGGAGGGTGGCTCAAGAGATGACTTGGATAGGATTGTCAACTGATAAAACCATGGCTGGGTTGGTGAGATGACTCAGTGGATAAGGTGTTTGCTGTTACAGAACAAATGGAGCCCCCCCCCCCAAATTGTAATAGCCAAAGTAACTTCATTTTATATAAAGCAGCCACTTTAAATTTCAAAAGTTAGAAAAATAGCCAGCTTCAAGGTTAAGTGCATGAACTTAGTTGCTTCCCCTTAGAGAAGTGCTTTCTTTGGGGTAGTTGACCTTGGGTTTCCTGGACACAAGTAGCTGCACTCAATCAGAAAGCCTTACTGCCAGGGTCTCTATACCTCATTAAGAAAAGAACTAACACAAGCTTGTTTTGGCTTTTGTAGTTTGCTTGTCTTCTAACTTGGGCATCCTGACCATATTCAGGACCACCGGGTGTTATTCATGTGTCATGAAATTCCTGTGGTATTTGTGGGTTTTCCCTTTAAAAGCTAGTTCCACCCTCCCCTCAGGGCTGTGGGTCCAACAATGGGCACCTATAGCCCTAATAAATTTAAGCAATTAAAATTAGGATTGAGTCTGGTGGTCTTTTTCCCAGTGTTTTCAAACTCCGTAACACTTCCTACTAAGCCTGAGTTTGATCCCCAGGACCCACATGGTAGAGGGAGAGAACCATCTTCCCATAGTTGTCTGACCTCCACATGTGTGCAGTGGCATGCAAACACACACTCATACACATACATAAGTAAAATATAAGTTAAAAAATAACCATGGGTCACAAGAGTTGGACAAGTGGGTTAAGACATGTTTTTTATTCTAAATGGAGTTTCTTAGAAAATTCTGGGTGTGCAACAGGGAAACAAACAAAGTCATACAACTCAGGCCTTAAGCATGATTCACTGCTATTTTAACATTCTTATTTTAAATACGCCTATATAAAATGAGTATTATCTAGCCAGGTATGGTGGTGCACACCTTTAATATCCCACCACTCAGGAGGCAGAGGCAACGGACTGAGTTCAAGGCCAGCTTGGTCTACATGGTGAGTTCCAGGCCAGCTGGGGCTACAAGGAGACCCTGTCTCCAAAAGACCAAAAAAAAAAAAAAGAGTATTATCTACATGTGGGCGGGCAACCCTCACAGCAAATAAGTTTTACTATTAAATTTTCTTTTTTTAATCTCACTGTAGGAGGGAGGTGGCCGAAGAGATGGCCCAGCAATTAAATGCACTGACTGGAGTTCAGTTTCCAGCATCCACCTGACAGCTCAAAACTATCTGTAACTCCAGTTCTAGGAGATCTGATGCCTTGTCCTCGGTGGGTACTGCATATACACATGCAAGCAAAACACTCATGCGTAAAACAAAACAAATATTAAAAAAAAGAAATAGCTGGTTGTGGTGGCCTTTTTAGACCCAGCACTCGGGAGGCAGAAGTAGACAGATCTCTGTGAGTTTAAGGCCAGCCTGATCTACAAAGTGAGTTCCAGGCCAGCTGGGGCTATAGGGAGACCCTGTCTCAAAAAGACCAAAACAATCAAACAAAATCTTGGAGGGAGAGGGGGTAATATGTGACAAAGTGGCTGTGGTGATCAGAGGACACTTTTCAGGAGTGGGTTCTCTCCTTCTGCCAGGGGTTCCAGGAATGGAACTCAGCCCTTCAGGCTTTCCTGGGCTGGGAGTGGGGAGTGGGTGAGCTTTTCCTGCTCACCTCACATCTTTCTCTCCTACTTAAAGAGTGCCATCCCCCGCAGGGGTCCCAGCCAGGCAGCGTCCCCGGCAGCCCCCCTTCCCTTCCCTCACCCCCC